TTTTCTCACAGACATTTCATTAACCAAACTAGGCAACATCATCAGTGTAGCAACAAGTGGGGTTTGCTCTCTGTTTATATTTTATGGGGGATTCTGGGAATTGAAGTCCACCCACCTTCAAGTGGCCAAGGTTGGGAAACGGCTATCCTCGGGGAAGCCAGTAGAATATAAACGGGAGAGTAATACTGGTGGTGTTACCTAGTTTGGATAAGGAAAGGTCTGTGAGGAAACGATCAAGCTCCAAGGCACCAAGGCCTTTTCATCTCATGCATATGAATGGGCCAAAGCACTGACTTCAAGAGAACTTTATGCTGATCTAAGAGGGAGATAAACCTGGGTTTTAAGCAAGAAGGTCCCGATAAAGAGGAGTAGTTGAAGGTTGAAAGAAACAGGCCAGTATCTTTTAAATCCAAAGGATTATTCTTTGTAGCTCTTAAGGATTACTGACAGGTTGATTTTATCACTCCTTTCTTGTTCAGGATGTGAATTTACATCTCGGTCTACTCCTCAGCAGAGGAGGAGGGAAGAGCCTTTATTTTTCTATTTTTTAAAAAATGGGAAACTTCCCTTCATCATTTAAGGAATAGAATGCTTTTGTTTGCCCTCCGAGAAAAAAAAGAAAAGAAAAGTAGTCAATTAGCTAAACGTTTTCCGGTGGTTGAAAAAGAGACACAAGTTTGCGGGTTAAAATCAATGGCGGACGGATTTCGGTGCCCAGAAACACATCTGTAATCAGAAACAGAGTTTTTTACTCATAAAGGATGCTGGGACCTCTCCTGCGAAATTTAATTTGCTTCCGAGGCTATGGACCGCTGTTTGCAAAAATTCTTTGGCTGTACATTCTTCTTCAACCTGGCTCGTAACCACCGTGTTGAATTACACTCTCAGTTCCCAGTCAGATTCCCAAGGAAGGAAATCAAGAGTTGTGCAATTTACACAAAATCAAGACACTCCAGAAATACTAGGGGCCCACCTACTTGGAGCAGAGTTCCCTCCGGGGTCCAAAAACAAGGGCTAAGAATGACAGACCGGATACAACATCCCTTCTTGGGTGGAGGTTTGCAAGGTCGTTTCTCTTCACCGTTGAAAAGAATCCAAAGGACAGGTGCTAAACAAGGTGTGGGCAGGCAGGTGACCAGCAGCTAAGCTGAAGGAGCCCCTAGTTCAGTGGTGGGATTCAAATAATTTAACTACTGGTTCTCTTTTCCCCTAAGGAGTTCTACCAGCAACCAGCTCACTAAACTGCGCAGAAAGGTAACTGAACCGGTGCGAACTGGCTGAATCCCACCACTGCCCTAGTTATTGTTCAAGTCAACCTACTGACAACACCAGCCCTAAAACCAAAGTCTTTGTTTTGCCTTTTACGTTTGTTCTTCTTTTCTCAAGAACTTCCCCCCAAATTACAGAAAAAAACACCTTCCAAAACATATTCTCCCTTCCTCCTTATTTCTAAAGGGTGGGCCGTCTCTACTAAAACGAAAACTGCTTTTGGCCGGTGCATATATCATCTGCAAATAGGATCTGCTGCTTTTCCTTCATTAAGGTCTTCAGTTAAATGCATGCAAATTAAAGTAAATGAGCCAACGTTTGTGGGTTTTTTTTTTGTTTTTTGTTTAGCAAAGCAATGCTCCTAACTTTGCATATTTGCATTCAGCAGACAGAGCAGCATTTTGAAAGCATACACTACACGGCCAGCCAGGAAGGTAGAGATAACCAAAAAGAAGCCAATTTCTTTTCCTGTCAAAACAATTCTTACTTTTCCCCCTTCAAAGGTGCAGCGTCATGCATAAGAATATGCAGTATCCCACCAAGTTCATTCTCAGCTCATCTTGCCAAGCATTTACACTAGCAGGTAGAAGCATCTGGTGGGCTGTGTCGGGACTAGGAAGCTAAGCAGCATTTGTTCCGGTTCCTCCTTGGATGGGAGATCAAGGAGGATCAATCCAAATAAAATGTGAGCAGGTGTCAGTGGAAATCCATGTCTATATTGTGGCCACGAGAACCGCGGAGCCCTCTGTGGAGAGTCCATCAGCAGCCTGAGCTCAACCTGAGGACATTTCTATGTTTACCTGCCAGAAGATAATTTAATTAGACCGGGAATCAGATCCTCAAAGGCGCAGAAGTTTATTAAAAAAAAAAAAAAAAGCTAGTCACAGTAGTTCTGCTTGACAAGAGCGATTTACGTATGAATCAGTACTTGGACTAATTCATTATTCAGAAGGCTTGTTATTCACAGCCTACAACAGCTTGGTAAATTATTTATACCCAGCCGTCCCTTGTCTATGCGTGCTTTTCTCCCTTAAGAAAAGAAAAACATTTATAATGTTCCTCCCAGGGAGATGTTCCAGTCAGAGGTGGGATGTTGATGAAGCTGAGGGGGGCCTCATGGTTCGCTCCTTGCAGTTTGCTCTGTTTATCTTTTCTTTCCATCCAACTAGTGATGGACTTCCTAACGCACAAGCCACACCATAAATGTGCAGGATTTCCATGCTTCTCGGTTACCATGAGTATGGAAGCCCAATCTATGTTGAGGACGTTCTCAGGATTGCTTGACATCTTAGAGGAGTCAAGATTTGTTCTACCATCTGCATTTCCTTCTCTTGAAACCCATGATTTCCTCCACAGGTGGCCATATTTGAACCAGCAGGACACAACAAGGTCTACTGTCAACTCGTAAAGCATTCCTGGCCTGTTCTTGAGTTGCCATAGGTAGGATGGGGGGGAGAACTGATGGAGAAGCTCAGTTGCTATGACCAGAAGCACATTCCACGCATACCTTTCTCCAGATTGTATCCCAGGTTACTAGAGCCAGCCAGAGAGGTATATTTTCTACAGCCCGTGAAAGTGCTCCGTTGGAGAATGTGATTTATGACACACCATGGGAGGAGGGGGAAAACAGGGTCATAGGTGACCAGTAAATTATGTGGGGCAGAGTCGACTGCACTTGCCGACATGTTGCTCCTAATAAATAATTGGATTTACTTTGAAACTTGGCTCAAGGCTCATGAATTAATTAGGGCATCCACCGGAACCCTGACATCTACATTCCAAAGGAAAGGAAATTACTTTTCTCAACTGTCTTCTCACCTACCTAAGATCTTGGTCACAACAGTGGAACTGAAGACCGAGGAAGATGGAAATCCTTGTTGTTGTTGTTGTTGTTGTTGTATGTGTTTGCAGAGAGGCCAAATATTTGTCTGTGAGAGATGTGGTTTTGTCCAAGAAGAGGACTGGACAACCACATCCTCAATGGCATCCTCCATCTTTCACATCTTCCGAAAACTAAATGCAGAAACCACCACATCCTTCTACAAAACCCTGGTTCGCAGTTTATCCAAACTGTTTGGAATGACACAATCCTGTTTCAGGGATTTATTGTGGTCCTTTTTAAGCAACACGATCACAGTGAACAGGTCCAGCCCAAGGACGAAGTAGAACAATCCAGCCAATGTTCAGCTATTTGCCCACACCCAATAGACAGAATCTTGCCTGATTATACTTATACTATTCTAACTCTGATGGATATAACCTGGGAGATCCTAAGGAGTGGCTATCCTAACTCTCTTCCTCTGTCATCTATCCGGTTCAGGGCTGTTCTGCTTCTTGTCTTGCCCCCCCCGCTCCTCCTTGGGATATGATACGCCTCCTTCCTGGGAAATGGCCACTTTACTGTAGTCCAGGGGTGTCCAACCTTGGCAACTTTAAGACTTGTGGACTTCAACTCCCAGAATTGCTGGCTGAGGAATTCTGGGAGAATTCTGAGGAATTCTGGGAGTTGAAGTCCACCAGTCTTAAAGTTGCCAAGGTTGGACACCCCTGCTGTAGTCCATCACATCGCCTCCCCCTTCGTAGACACAATCCATCACAGCAATTCTCCAGTTCAAAGTGGACAGTGAGTGAATGTTGCAGTGGCCTAGGGGCGGAGCTCTCGCCTCACAATCAGAAGGCTGTGAGTTCGATCCTAGGTAGAGACAGATATTTCTCTCTCTGGGCACACTGAGAATATATCTGCTGAAAAAAATAACTCAGCCCTGGCGACAGGAATGGCATCCGGCCAGTAAAACACTCAGCTCCATTCAGTTGCCCAGACTCCACACGGCAAGGGATTGTGGGGTCATTAAAAGAAAAAGATGATGAAAGTGGACAGTGGGGTGGGGATCTGAGTCATTAATTGCATAAACTTTTGAGTACATTTGAGGAGCAGAGGGGTTTTCTGGGGAAGCAGGTATGAAACAAGCAGGGATACCTCAAAATCCCCCAGAGACGCCCTTTCTGGGCTCCCCAATCCTGGACCTTTTACTCTTCTTGTAGAAAAGTGTTGCCTCCTGGACCCTTCACTGCTTGTACTTCATCAACTAAGAAGCTTCTTCTGGCCTTAATTAATGGCTGGACAAGAAACCCTTGAAAGCTATAATTGCTCTAGAAGTTTATGGTTACGACGTAATAAATGGGAGGCGATATCAATAACGATTATTGAACTGTTTGCATTGGGAAATGCTGACAATTATGCCAGCATGGCATGTGGAGGGGATACAACACAAGAGCCATCAAACCCTAGTCAATTTTTTTAGAGGTGATAAATAAATCCAACCATCACAACACACACGGTCTCCCTCCATAAAAACTGTCTCCTTCCTGCTCAGAGCCAACCTTAAGCCCTAAAGCAAAGATCCTCAAACTTGGCAACTTTTAAGATTTGTGGAGTTCAGTTCCCAGAATTGTGCAGTTCAACTCCCAGCTGGCTGGAGAATTCTGGGAGTTGAAGTCCACAAGTCTTAAAATTGTCAAGTTTGGAGACCTCTGCCCTAGAGTCACTTTGGGTAATGAGACGGGCTGCATATAAATTTCATAAATAAATAAAATAAAAAGGGCCAGGCATCTGATATCACAAAGAACAATCCAGGTACCTTCCAGATGTTGGGCTACACCCTCATCCTTCCTATACCCTCATCCTTCCTACACCCTCATCCTTCCTACTGGTAGTAGCAAACAGTGCCGTATCTGGCAGTTAAGCTGGCCAACAGAAGGAGCTTCTTGGTGGTCACTACCTTAGGGAATGAAGACCCACCTAACCCAACTGGACACCTTCTCTTGTGACACAAGACAAATTTTCCAACTGATGTGGACCCGTCTGCCAGGGGATTCCGCAAATCCAAGTCCCATGAATTTTTCAGGACAGCTATTTCTTCAAATCACAGCCTGAAGTGTGACAGGCTGGCCCTTTCTCACTAGGGTGATGTTATTTGGGATTGATTGAATAGTTACATGTGATTAAATCGGTGTCAACTCTTGGGATAGCTCTTTTTTCCCAGGAGGTTCTTTCCCCAACATGGTTCTTCAGATCTTCCCCAGCACCAGAGTCCTCCATCTTACCACTAGTTGCTTTCTCCTTCTCCTCTTTCCTTCCACCTTTCCTACCATTGGAGTCTTCTCCAAGAAACTAGGTGTTCAAATCACATCTCCAAAGTTTTATTATCTTAGCCTCCTCGTTTGTGCCTCCAAAGTAAGAGCTCCAGATTGACTAACTATAAGGATCTATTCTCTGTTTCTTGTACTGACAACCCCTCCCGACTCGGTGTCGTTCTTATCACACCTGTTCAGCGCTCTTCCTCTAGGACTTTTCTCTTCTCTCTTTGCCATGCCACTGCTCGCTTCCCCCCACTTCCTTTTCACACCTGGAGCTCTCTGTAGCAGAGAGCCCTTACAATGAGCATCCAGCCAACTCTCCTTTGCGCACATGCATGCAAGCACATTCACGGGCTGCCTCTCCAACACCCTCCTCCTCCTCCTCCTCACCGAACTGGTGAGATCGGCAGGTGGGTTTGCAGTCTTCCCTATTATTTCGGCAGACAATGCTGACGGCTGGCCCTTGCACAAGCTCTAACTGTCACCTCTCCAAGTGGGCGGCTGGCATCCCCTCCAATGACAACGCCGCGCCTGCCAAATGGTGCTCAAAGTGGCACAGCGGATATGAAGGCTCCCTGCATGGAAACAGAAGGAGGGCAACACAGTTGTCGATTCATGCCAATCACAACTCCTTCACACCCGCATCCTCAGGGGTGGGGGGGTGGGGGGTGGGGAAGAAAAGTGGGCTGGAGCCTGTCTTCTGCCGAGAAACAAACCCTCTGCTTTTTAAGATGTACCTTGCGGTGCTTTGACGGCAAGGATGGAAAAAGATGGGGGCGCGAAAGGCAGGAAGGCTAGGCATTAAAATAATAGGATTAATGGGGCCCCTGTTACTGAATGGAATAAATAAATTAATTAATCCAGAGGGAAGAGAGTAAAGGGTTGTAGGAACTCAAGCAGTGGGCAGCAACGGAAGGCCAGTGTCGCACAACCTGGAGAGAAATCCTGAAATGGCAACAGAGCACTTCCAATTAGGGAGCTATCACGTTCAGGGACGTTTCTCCAATGCACAGGCAAAAATGCAGCACCTAGAAAAATTGCACAGAAGGGAAAGGAGGTACGTCCTCTGCCACCCATCCAGACACACCCCCTCGGGAACCAAAGAGGGCCAAGCAGAAGACACGTGGAGTCACCAACACGGTGGTGAAGACTTCGGGATACCACCAACCTTACTCCGTCTCCGGCTTTGCAACTCTCCGATGTTTATGTGATGGTTCTGAGCGCCCGTCAGGGGCCGAAAAGGATGACAAGCAGAGCCCTTCCTCTCGGTTGCGACTCAACGGTTGAGTTTTTCGCAAGCACCCGCTTTTCCCTTTCTAGGCACTTAGCTGCATCCTTGACAGTCAGCAACTAACCTTGTCAGGGAAGGGGGTCACGTTCTTCATCGGGGAGGAGAAGGACAGGAGAGAACAGGCAGGGAAGTGACAAATTTGACACCTGTCGGATGCCTGATGCTCGGTTCCTTTCCTCTCTGATGGTTATCAGAGATTCTAACGGGGTTTTTCCGACACCCAGCCGTGCAAACGATGCCTCTCGATTGCAGCCAGGAAAGACCGTGCCATCCAAAGGATGGAGCCGGCACTTCCTCCATCCCTGTCTTAGGATTTTCCTGGACAATCCGATTTCGGAGCGGAGCAGAGCCCAGCCAGAGAGATGCTTCCCCTGGTGCCCCATGCATAATGAATGCGGCGATTATTTTTCAAGGAAGCCGAAACTGAGACGGGCTTGTAGCTGAAAGATGGGAGGCAGGAAAGGGCCTCCGGGTGGAGACTTTCATTCCAGCACAAATGTGTTCTTCAACGGTGAAAAGAGCATGTTGTACATCAGGGGTCTGCAACCTTCAACACTCAACCTTCAACATTTGGACCCATTTCCCACAGACAAGAAAACATCGGGAGCCACAAAACCTGGGTGGGCATGGCCAACTCAACGTCACTCCTACCCAGTCACATGACGCACCTGCCCAGGTTTTGTGGCTCCCAGTATTTTCTGTGGGAAATGGGTCTCTCTCCCTCCGTCCCTCCCTCTCATTTCTGTTTTTTGTGTTTTACCTTCTCAGGCCTGGCGAGGAGTGACTGGGAGGAGAGGGCGAGGGACGGGGAGGGGCCAGCCAGTGGTGGGATCACTCAACAGGGAGCCACAGCAGAGGGCCCAAAGAGCCCCATGCGGCTCCAGAGCTGCCGGTTGCTGACACCCGTTCTACATCAACGTGATTCGGGGAAGGGGGTCCAACCTTGGCGACTTGAAGACTTCTGGACTTCAACTCCCAGAATTCCCCAGCCAATGCTGGCTGGGAAATTCTGGGAGCTGAAGTCCACAAGTCTTCAAGTTGCCAAGGTTGGACACCCTTGAATTAGAGGGCAAGTCAAGCAGCGTCATGGGGATTGGGGTCTTGTCAGCCACAAAACTGAAATTTTTGATCCTGGGAACCAACCAAGATATGATTTTTTCCCCTCCTTTCCAAATCAAAATCTCAGCCTCCTTCAAACAAAGGAAATACATTTGAATTATGCAGGTTGCATTTTGGAGCGTTTCAGGTCTCTGATCCTTACAAACCATCTCATCTTCTAAATCTCATCTATCTATCCAAATTCCTCGACCCTCCCTCCACTCTTTCAAATATTGTTTGGAAGCTTCAACGTCTTTTTAAAATTAGAACGCCTTGGCCCAAAACAGTTCTCCTAAAATATACCAGTTCTCACCATTTGCATAATTTAAAGATGCAGCATCTGTGCTCCTACACTGCAGTATTGGATTTACCGCCTCTTTGTTCTTTAATTGATTTTCCTTCATTATGAACAGAAAGTGGCTGGGTGGGGTGCCTCACCGTACAAAAAATATACTTGATATCCAAAAAAAATTGGAAACATATCTGACCCCTCTTAAAGAGATCTATGGAATTTTTCTAGAATTACCTTTTTAAACCAAAGTGGGTATTGTCCTCTCCCCTCCACTCCACTCCTTTCCCTTCCTTCCTTCCTTTTCTCTTTCTTTCTTTCTTTCTTTCTTTCTTTCTTTCTTTCTTTCTTTCT